ACTTGCCACGGTCTCCAACCCTCCTCCTTTCTCATCCGGGCTTGGGACCGGCCATGGCGGAGTTCTGTTTAATGATAATCATAAATAAATTATAGGCGATCAATTGTAAAATCGGTGAATTTTCCGTTCGATGAATAGCTGGTCGGTGAATTTTCCTGTCGGGAATTTTCCTGTCGGTGAACTTTCCGCTTGTGAATTGCAGTCAGTGAACTTTCCGGATACCGATTTGAGGGCCTCCTACTGGACGTATGTTTGCTTTCCAACCAAAACTAATGTCTCACCTGTTCAGTGATGTTTAAATTTTCTTTATACGTGTAGTAGTTGCTGCCACTTTAAGTTCTTCACTTTTGCAAAGACATGGCAGGCCTTTGATTGTGCACGCATCCATTCATTTCTTGTTATTCCAAACATATATCTTTTCATGCTGCGTCTTGTAGTCTGCAGATTATCAGTACCTTTCAGGCTTAAATCTTTATCATTTACGTGTACGCCTTTTGTTGTGATATAGTCAGCTATCAAGTAGATGAAAGCTAATTAAAAAGGTAAAGCGCTTGCATCAGAGTCAACGTTTCGCAGATATAGGTTGGCACATAAAGTACATGCTGTTAGAATACTTTTCGTTTTAAGTACAAGGGTAGTTTCCTAGATGGGAGCATTTCAGTATTCCAAAAGTGTTCCCTGCCATTTTTACTCTTTTTTTGATTTCATATAGTCGGTTCTCCCTTGGAAAAATGAACCATCCCACGTGAAAATGGTTTTGCGCCTCCGCAAGCCTTAATTCTTTGACTTCAGCAGCTCCAGAGATGATGTGTTTGTCAATTAAACATAATTTTCTTGACATAGTATTACTTTCTTCAGGTACGTTTTCAGTATTCCTTGATGCAGGCGTCGTTCAGTTTTCGAATTCTTCTGGTAACCTGGGTAAGATCAGATTTATATTCAGTAATAAGTTCTTCAGTTAACGTATAATGTGCTAATTTTTTGACAGGAGTAGCCAATTATTCTAATGTAAGTAAGCGATTAATCCGTGCAACTTGTATCTAGAGCTATGTTATATTGGTATTGGACAACTCTTTAGCTCGCAATTCAGTTCACGTATAGCAAATAGTAAATTTTAAGCTGTAGTGTTTAAGCTAAGATGTAATTGTTTCGCAAATGTAATTGTTTTGTTTCTGGAGCTACTAATTTTTGGCTAGCCTTGTCATTGATGCCACGAATTGATATCGTGAAATTGGAATTTACTTACCTGAGCATTCTTAATGTGTTACTGTATTGCAGCTTAATTGTAATAGTTCAGTTTACATGTTGTTTAATGTATAATTGAGTTTACCAGTTTAAAGTTTGTCTTAATATTTGCTCGTAAATGCATTGCTTGTCAAAAAACGTCATTCAGTAGGAGTTTCTGTAAGTAACTATGTTTTGAAGCAGAATCTTGCTCAGTGTTTGATTCAATTAACGTGGCTGTATGTAATAACTGCTGCGGTGTTTTTTCTTGGTTGTTTATTCGCAGCTAGGGACATTTGAAGCCATGTTCTCACTTTCCGTTATTACTTCACTGCATAGAAGGAAATAAGCGTGCTTTAGTTAAATGTACTTTGCATACAATAAACGCTATTTAAAGACCGAAATGACTATAATTTGTAAGTAGATGGCTTATTGTGGGTGTTAAACGTTAATAGTTGCTGTTGCGTTGTTCGAGTAGGAATTATTTGCAGGCACGATGAGTTATGGGAGTTCATATGTTGCTTTTGAGGTATGGGTAATTCCGAAACTACCAAACGACAGATTTGGCTGACGCTACTGGATCCAATATCTGAACCTAATTTTAAGCGGTGAAAGATAGGTTAATTCGAATTACTCTTATCTTCTCCGTTTGCTGTTTTTCATTCAGAATGCACGCCTTGCTTTCATCGATGAGTTTGTTCATTTTCTGACCTCATAGGCGAATGTTGCACTCTGAAAATGCCTGTTACGTTAACCATGTTGTATGCAAACTTTCCCGAAGTTGGCATCAACGTTTTGCAGAAGTGACGGTGGTAGCTGCGCGAAAGTTTCAGTCGCATAATTTTCAAAGTTGTCCATCTTTTATCAACGTTGCCCTTCTCAAAACGAGTACGACAGTGGTACAGCTGAGATATGATAATAAGCGAAGCGGTGGCTTGCAATTCTCGGTGTGGGAAATTTGTCAGTCTCGTCTCTGCAGTTAGTTACTTTAGTTTCGTTAAGCTCGAAAGCCACGATTCGGTGTGCCGGTAACGAAAACGGGGCAGTGCGACAAGCAACGTGACAAAAGACGACATGCGCGTGTTTTCGCTTCATTTCGTTTGGCGTCCTCGACGCGCAGCATTGCCGCTGGTGTAAAATCGTACCGCTTACATGTTTATAGGCGTTTGGCGCAACTTCTACAATGCATCAGCGTCTGCTTAGTCATCGGGTACGCCGGAGTTCGCCGACTTTCTCCTTCCGACAGAAAAGAAAGCCGAAGTCAGGTGGTGAATTCAGGTTCTCTTTTCCGTCATTGCTAACCCGTGGTCATTCGAGGGCAGCCAGGTGAGTAACGATGCGCTGCGCACGGAAATTCCCGTCTCTTGTCTAAATGACCGTTCGTTTCTAGCTTCAAAAGTGGCGCTGTATGCAACAGCGAAGTTACCGAAACAGGCCTTGACGTAAACGCCGATCAGCCGGACAACAGGAGTAGCACTTGCTCGTTGATGTCGGACTTCTCCCTCAGGGAATGTCCAGTGTGCTTGACCCGGCAGCCTTTGAATATGTTCGCGGAGCTGAGGTCATGCGAACACCGCACTTGCATCACTTGCATGATTCAGGTAATTGACAGTTTGCCGAAATTGTCGAGCAACGCTTTTGCGTTTTTGCTACTTTGTGACTACTTTCATTGTTGTTCCCACCTGAGTTAGAGCACCGGTGTGACGGAAAACTGTAACTGTGACAATCCAAAATAGCAAGCAATCACGTCCTGCAGTGTTATCAAGGCATTTGTTCACACAAACAGTTTGGCATGAAAAGCAGGTACGAAATCTAGTTTGTTCCTTCGTGTAAAAGCGGGATCAGGCAAAGCCTTCTCAGATTTTGGTGGTTCGTAACCGACGAAAGATGGAAGACATTAGCATATATAATAAAAATTATTCTCACTATTATGGGTTTACTACGAAGCGACTAGTTTTTGATACCGCAGGTAAGAATAATTATCAACTCACTTCGGCTGATTCTTGTGGCTCAATCGCACCGACCCTTCCATTTAGTTGTCTACGGGACAGTTCAAACAGATTACAGCTTTACTTTATTTTAGTACCTGCAGTGCATTGGCGCAAAATTGCACCTCTTTATCAGGTTGAATAGACACCTGTTAGATTACCAACGGATAAATCTGACTGCATTTTAGTATCTGCTGTGCATGGACCCAAAACAAAAGCACTTTGATTGGGTCGAACAAAAATTCGTTCGAACACTGTTAGATATACCTTTGTCCGTATGCATATATATTGTAAAATATTATGCCACGATGCGATTTCACCGCGTGAATCATGAGAAGTGTCCTAAGAATATTCTTGGCTGATTCGAAGACTAACAGTTTGCTAGTGAGCATGATACCGAAGTTAATTTTATTATATATGCCTACGGATTCGTACCTCCGTCAGTGTTCGAACGAGTTTTTGTTGGACCCAATCAGAGTACCATTGTTTTGCTCCCACGCACAACAGGTAGGCGCTAAAATGCCATCTGCTTTAGTAGCGGATCAGCGTATAGCGCCATAGATCATAGCGGGTAGAACAGTTGAATCGAACTGTTCTTACTTCACCCACGCGGGCAACTCGCTGTCACGTAATGATCCTTTATGTGATTAAAGCTGGTCGATTCCCGCCAGTTTAGTCAGTTCATGCATTCAACTTAGCGGCTGAACTGTGCATGGCTGGTGAATTCTTCGAGTTCTTCCCAATTCCCGTAGATGCAGGCACCAAGACAGTGCTCATTTCGTCTTGCAGAGGTTAACCTCCAAGCCGATGCTGACGGATTCTTGTAACTGCTAGATCTTCTCTTGGAACTGCATCGTGTACGAATATGATATGGTTATCCACAAATAAAAAGTGCGTTAGTGCGTTAGCTATCTCTATCAATATTAATTCCTTTGTGACGGCTTAGTCGGTTGAAAATTGACTGCAATCGCGCGACGGAGAACTCCGCTAAGATGGTATCTTCTTGGCTCACACTTGGATGGATTTTGATACACCATGTTTCGCTGAAGAGCGTGATATCAGTCGTGCAGGCAGGGCTAAATTCCTCAGTGGGACTGCGCGAACAGGCTTTATGCCTTGTTCATGCAAAGGGTTTAGCACAGCCGTCAGTTCTATCGAATTGAACGCCTTGTAGTCGATGAAAGTGAAACAGATTGACACTTGATATTCGTTGTACTTCTCCGTCAGCTGCTGGATGAATCTGTATGTTCGTTGGTAGAAAGTCCTGTTCGAAAACTGGCCTTTTCTCGATATGTGACTAGTTACAGTTCCTTCTGAATATGGCTGAAAAAGATGTTGGTGAAAACTTCGATTTGCGTCAGGAGTGTAACTGGTAAGTGGTTTTTGAGGTCTTCGGAGTCATCGTTCTTCATGGGAAAGAATCATTATTGCGTCTTCTACATCTTAGGCGTTTTGTTTTGCTTATGTATTCAATAAAACGTTTGGCATGCGCTTTAAACAGGCTTATTCCTCTCGCTATATAGAGTTCTGGTCGTATAACGTATTTGTCTGAAGGTCTGCAATTTTTAATGTTTCTGATTGTCCACTCAGGTTCCTCCCACGCAACTTCTGATTCACGTACAGGTTGTGTAAAGCTTTGTGGAGATCTACTTTACCTCTTTGCGATTAGTAGTTTTTGCTTCTCCCTTGTCTTCGTCAGCGCAATCGGAATCCGCTGTTTTAAACGAATAACCTGTTCGACAGCTTTCAGTCTTTTCTTCATCCCCATGACCTTTCTTATTTGCATTCTCCTGTAACTCTCGTAGTGTTCCGTCAACTTCTTCCGTATCTCTCCGTATAATGCAGTGTGCGTTGCCTATTTTCCTTTCGGTCTTAACTTGGGTTCTTCTAACTAACAGCTGCCTTGTTGAAGGGTTGATGCGTTTGTTTCTCGTTGACTTTTCTCTCCGGCTTGATGTTTTAACGAGCAGTCTTGGTGGCGCTGATAGAATGGCCATAATTTGCATCTATTTCCTGGCCGATGTTCATTTCAAGGTTAATTAACAGGAGGTTCTGCGCGAAAGCGGTGATATTTGGGCTGTTTCGATCCGCTTTTCGTTTGCGCTATCGTAACTGTGGAGCCTGAAAGTCTACGGTCTGACCCTGTGCTGGTGACGTTCTGGTCTATGACCGACCGGTCCAATATTGGTTTTTTGTTCGTCAGTAAATGGTCGATGTGGGTCAAGGAGTTTCCATCTAAGCTTTTCCATGTTTATTGCCGCTTTGGAACTTTCTGGAATGAGGTGTCTGTGACGTGGAGGTAGTTTGTTTCAGCCAAATTTGCGAGCGAGTTCCTCGTTTAATTCTTTCGTTGTTTCTATATTTTCTGATAAGCACCTCTTATTTCTTTTCTCGATCAGCTGCTTTGATGCCCCCTTTGAACAGTCGTGTATGTAATTTTCTGCACTGCGCCTCCCAGTTCCTCGTAGAATTGCTCGATATCTTTTCATCTTGTGCGGTCAGGCTGTAAGCTTAGAACATTTTACTGTTCATTTCTCAATCTGTAGAAGTAGAATTGATATAGGAGGTGGTATAATATGACAGTTGACTACAGATGTGTGTACAGTTTTCCTTTCTATAGTGAATCCAAAGCCACCAGTCTTAACTCGGTTCTCGAAAGCCTATCTGATGGGGAAAATTTGATCTCCGTTGTTGCATTGCCGAACAAATTCGATACATCTTCTGCTCGCATTTCCCAGTTACATCCGCCTTGATCGTTTCCTAATTTTCTGTTTCCGTTTTATTGACGTCGATAATGTTATTGCATTATAGCTGACAAAGATTTTGGCGACGTTCTG